AAAGAGGAAACATTAATTTTTTGTTTGAAGTGATGTGTTGCATAGAATTGAAAGATATCTACCAAAAGGTTAACAGGGGTAATTTGAATGCTGAGCATTTTTGGCTCTTTAATAATATCTGTTCTATTTTTAATCCCTTTAAAGTCTTTATAGCTGTGTGTCCATTGTGGATTTGATATTGCTGGGAATCGTGGTGTTTCTCTGAACGTTTTTTTCTGAGTTGAATACATGAAAAATCATGTATTTTTTTGCATAATGTAAACAAATGCTTATTTGAGAAAATACAGTCAGATAGAAATATCATACCCTTATCAGTACTCTCTCACTGGGAGCCACCTGCCAAAATCTGAATGTATATTCTTTTGATTTTCCTTAAGTTTATCTCTGTGGATACATCGTAGCCTGATTTTATTAATTAGTCATATGGCTTGACCATTGTTCTTATGGGCATTTCTGTAACTAAATGTGAAGAATGAATTTTGAATGTTTTCATTGTATTTTGTTTCATATTTATGTCAGATTTTTAATTCTTGAAAATATTTTAAAACTTGATGTAGTTAATTCATCAGGATGCAGTATTGTAAATTTTGTCATAGTCTTTGAATGGGGAAACATGACTTTCTTTGCTGAGTTCTTGAAGGTGTGGCTGTCCTCTCTGTTTTCAGGGTTGCCAGGCACTGGAAACACACCTCCTCTACAACAGCAACCACTTGGCTTTTTTGGTCGCAGGGGGCTGAGTCCATAACTTGAATTAGGTTCTTTATTTTGTAGTTGCCTCTTCACTATTTATATGTAAGGTTTTCAGATTTTAGGTACATTTTTCAGGCTACTAAAAAAACATGAGAAGGAAGCCTAGAAATTAATTATAAAGTAGAACAGGTCAGCAGCTTGTTTATATGTCATTACTTTCCTAAATCATCTTGTTCATGCCACAGCAGTTTTTGAGGCTCCAAGAATATAAGGAAACTTAATGCTTTCTTATCTTGAATTTGGTCATGTTTTTTTCTGACAGCGTAAAAGCCTGGATTCCTTTCCGACGGATCTTTGCTGTTCTCCCCTGAGCCTGACATTTGGAAGAGTTAGGGGAGCCTGCAGCCTCCACAGCTGCAGAGGCTGTGCAGCAGCCCCCTGGCAGGAAGCAAGCATTTCAGGAATTTATACTGTGATCTGCCGAACTGCAAAATCTAGAACTTTCCACTGTTTCTGTTGGAAACAAAACCTAGAGTTGTGTTTTAATACCATGAGCTACTTAAAACCAGAGAGGTTTTATTTTTAATTTACCTCCAGGATTACAGATAGTTCTTGATGAGTTTAACTGCAGAAAAGGATGTGAATTATGCCAAAAGAGCTTAACAGAATTTTTTACTGTCAGATAAGTTTCAAAATTACTTTCAGTGAAAAAGGCACCTATGGAAGAATGCATGGCATGTTACTTTTATAAATACTAACTGTTGCAACGTCTTACCACTTCAGATCTGCGAGGCTTGCTTTGCCACTGAGGCTTGCTTTGCCACTGATCGCTCCTTGACCAGTTGTAACAGCCACTTGTGATCCTCTGATAACCATACCCGCCTGCTGACATCTCTGAAAGCCTCTCTGGTTGAGGCACATTAATGTCCCCATCAGTCCTTCTGCCCGGGTTTCCCGTTTCTTTTGTTAATGGCATTTGATGACTTCCAGAGTACCAAGTCATTCTCTTATATTAAAGCATGCATTCAGAATTTTGAAATGAACTGTTAATTAGTTACGGAAAACTTAGCTTTAGGTATCCATTTCCAGCTTCCCTCTTCCTCTCTGTCACCCCAACTGCAGAACATTAAACTCACATAGGCAGCAGAATGGAAGTCTAATTCCAGTTGACCTTGACCATCTCACACATAGCATCACCTGGGCCATTCTTAAGATAACAACTCTGCTGTTATCAATCGATTCCCCTTCCTTACCAACACAGTCTATTGCAGATTAAAAAAAAAAATTATAGGGCTAATTTAACATGTACTATACTTCTCCCAGTTAAGCCTTTTCATCTTGCTTTGAGAACTCTATAATCTCCAAACCAGATGTATCCTGAGTGGTTCTAGTGCCACAGCTGGCCTGCTTTCACAGAAGACACCTTGGACTTTCAACAATTTGGAAAGCTGTATAATAATGCCTTATTCATACTTAACCTGAAGTGCAGGTAACAGAGGCGACTTTCAAGGCTTTTTTTGCTCCAGAGTGTTCTGGTTCCTCTTTCAGCTTTGAGCATATTGAGTTCAGCATCTATCTACCCTGTTCTCTAGGGTCTTTGCCCTCAGCTTAGCTGTATGCTTTCGTCAAAGCCTTTCTTCAGCCTAGCGTGAAAGCAAGATTCCAGTCTTCAGCTTTCCTAAGAAGGGCCTTCTTATCTAGGGGCAGGAAGAAGAGGAAGACTGCAAAAGAGAGAGGTTCTAGATCGTAGTGTCCTAAGTCTGGGAGGAGGAACTCCAAGAATGAAAGAAATACCAAGTTGTCGGATGTGAAAGAGAAACTTGAGGCAAATAAAGCCTGAAGAACTGTTGGGTTTTGTAATTACAGTATCAGTGGTAACCATGGGAATTGGATTCCTGTAGAGTAGAGAGGGTGGAAGTTTAGGTGCATGGATGAAGGACCGACGTAGGGCAGACGAACTGGAGGCAGCAGGCACAACCCACCTTGGTGAGGTGGTATCAGCCCTGTTAGGAAGCCTGTGTCCTCCATGACCTTCCATGGTACAACTGTGCAAATCTCCCAGTTGGAGTCTTGTCTGATTTGGAATCAACTGTGTATCTGAGTAAGATGGTGAGCTCCCCAAATGAAGATCGGATGGACCTAGCTTCTGTTTACAGATATTTAATTCTGATTTTATCCTTCAGAGTTGGATAGCTCCCAGCGAGGAGGCAGCACATGTAGAGTTACATGGAATCTTAAATTTAATTCATTTAAATCACCAAATACATAAGACTTCACTGTTGTAATGAATTTTTAATGTAACTTGAGCAAGTCTCCCAGAATTTTGCATTCTCTTTACTGCCTGAACATTTTAAAGTGAAATATTATTCTCTAGAATTTCCTGGTGTTGTCTGTCCAGTTTATTAGGATAGTAGAACATAGTCCAGACCTAGGTTAAATTTTTCATGTGATGCTTTAGGCAATTTTGATTTTACAACTCATATCCCAGGCACCAGCAGTATAATGCTATACACTGTCATAGAAAATAGTTGTTATGGTTGTTGAATGTCTTTGTATGGTAGCTATTTCACTAGAAAAATCCAATTTTACTGACATTATTCAGTGGTACATCATGCTTGTTCAGATCAGGGCTCTGTGCTGTTGACTGTTACTTGTTTCTGGCACAACATAAAATAGAAATAAAAAAATGCATTCCAATTTGATTGTTGCCTTAAAAAAAAAAAACCTATAAATGCAATTTAAGTCTTCGTTTTATTTTTTGAGACTATCTCTGTCACCCAGGCTGGAGTGCAGTGGCACTACCATGGCTCACTGCAGCCTCGACCTTCTGGGCTCAGTTGATCCTTCCACCTCAGCCTCCCAAGTGGTTGGCACCACAGGCATATGCCACCATGCTCAGCTAAATTTTTTTTTTTTTTTTTTTTTTTGTAGAGATAGGAGTCTCACTATGTTGCCCAGGCTGATCTTGAGTCCCCAAGCTCAAACAGTTTGCCTATCTTGGCTTCCCAAATTGCTAGGATTACAGGCATGAGCCATTGTGCCTGGCCAGTGCAAGTCTTTATGCAACTTTTTTCACTTGCCCTTGAAACCAGTGAAATAATGTATGTAAAGTGCTTTGTAGAGTAAGGTATGCTGCTGGATGCCATGACTCACACCTGTAATCCCAACACTTTGAGAGGCCGAGGCAAGAGGATTGCTTGAGCCCAGGAGTTCAAGACCACCTTGGGCAACGTAGCGAGATCCTGTCTCTACAAAAAAGAAACACAATTAGTCGGATGTGGTGGGACATGCCTGTAGTTTCAGCTACCTGGGAGGCTGAGGCAGGAGGATCACCTGAGCCCAGGAGGTCAAGGCTGCAGAGAACCAAGATCATGCCATCGGCACTCTAGACTGGATGACAGAGTAAGACACAGAGTGAGATTCTGTCTCAAAAAAAAAAAAAAAAGAGAATGAGGTATGCATATTAACTTATTACTGATATTAAGAAGTAACTGTAAGAGAAAGATCATTTTTAATATTTTGTTTTTGAGTTTTCTTTTTCTTTCTTTCTTTCTTTCCTTTTTTTTTTTTTTTTTTTTTTTTTTTTTTTTTGTGACAGAGTTTTACTCTTGTTGTCCAGGCTGTAGTATAGTCGGGTGATCTTGGCTCACTGCAGCCTCTGCCCCCCGGGTTCAAGTGATTCTTCTGCCTCAGCCTCCCAAGTAGCTGGGATTACAGGCACCCTCCACCACGGCTGGCTAATTTTTGTATTTTGAGTAGAGATGGGGTTTCATCATGTTGGCCAGGCTGGTCTTGAACTCCTGACCTCAGGTGATCCGCCCACCTCGGCCTCCCAAAGTGCTGGGATTACAGGCGTGAGCCACTACTCCTGGCCCTTGAGTTTTCATTCTGGCTCTACAGCGAATGTAGTCGTGTGACCTTGGGCAGGTTATTTCACATCTCTGCTCTTTGGATATCTCCCCTGTAAAGTGATTTATGCACTGGGACTTTGGGGGCTTCTAGCAAAATGGATCCATTAAGTGGTAGGGGCATCAGTTTTACAATAAGGGCATGGTGCAGGCCCAAAAATGAATATATTACATTGGTGTTATTCTCATCAACTAAGTACACAGGTAAACATTGTTTTTGGTACGTGAGCATCTTGATGCAGTAGATGACTGCTGATTTCCTTCTGTTGCATTCAATTTCTCATCTTGATGTATTCATTTCTTTTCCTCATGTTCATAGTGTTGTCCTGTCCCTCTGCTCTTCCTTGTCATCATTTCCATTTCACTTTCCTCGTGTTTCATTCCTCTGTCTTTCTTGTCTAGACCAAGCGGAGCAGCCAGCTGGCAGTAGCGCCCTGTAGGACCCCCAGGACCTGATGGTAAGTGCACTTGTGTGCTTGCCAGGCTCCCAGCGGCTCCTGCTCCTCTGCCTCACAGAGAGAAGCTCACAAATTTCCTTCTCCCCTTTATAAATGTCCTTATGGGTTTGGTTTGTTTTTTCTTCTAATTTGATGACATACAGGACAGAAATCAGGTGTCAGAAGAAACCAGTACTGGTTTGAGGAAATGTAGCACGTTCCACTACCTGTTGTTTCAGTATTTGTGAGGGACACCAAGCATGTGTGTGTGTGGGCAGGACCCCTGGTTTGACCTTCTGTTTCACTATAGACTAATTAGTCCTTCTCTGGCCCTGGCCTTCAGTTTCTTTCATAAAATTGCAGGCAGGAAAGGTGATTCTGATAGTCCCTTCATCTCTAGTCTGAGGCCCTCACGACAAGAAGTAACCTGACAGGTGGTTCTCCTAAAGACTGCGATCATTGTTTCAGATGTCAGATAATCTCAATTCCATGAATGAATGGTAGAATCATGATAGACTAATTTCCACGATAAGCTACGTCTGTCAGTGCTCACCAAATTTAGTTTGGTGGTATTGTTCCATTTTTAGAATTGTCGTCTTAGTGTTTTTCGAGTACTGTTTCTCATTTTTAGTTAAGTCTTTGAACTATCCAGTTGCATATGTCTTTAGTGATCCAGAAATGCATTGGTCTAGCCCTGTGGTTCTTAACCTGTGGAAATCTCCACAGGGGACTTCTGGCCATGTCTAGAGACTTTGGATTTTTACAGTTAGAAGGGGCTGCCACTGGCATGTAGTAAATAGAGGCTATAGGTACTGTTAAACATCTTTCGTCGCATCGGACAGCCCAGCGCACAGCCAAGGATTATCTGGTCCACATGGCATTTGCGCTGTGGTCGAGGCGCCTTGATACCTCATAGTGGTCTGTGGCAGGATACCCTCCTTAGTCCTCTGATAGGATCCAGAAGCTATACTTGCTGCAAGTGGCTTCTCTTCGCAGTCAATTAGGTTTCCAGGGTCATGGCTTTTAAAGAGGACAGCCAAGGAGAGAAAAGGGAGTTCTCACTGATGAGGTTTTGGTGGTCCAAAAAAGGACATTTGACATTTAGTGTCAGCTAGGTACTCTAATGTTCTTTTAGGTAGAGAATAAAACTTAAAATAGCCCTTTACCTTTTAGACAGTTATGTGATTTTATTTTGAGTGCATCTTAATGGTATTAAGATTGTACTTTGTTTTGTTAAGATATAAATCTAGACATTTTACTTATTTAATATTCTATTTACATACAGAAGAGTGTACTTTGCGTTTTATACAACCTATAGACTGGGTTTGTATAGCACTTGGGAGGTTATAGAAAAATCTTTGCATTTCTTTTGCAAGTGATTGTATTACAACAAACTGACATCTGTTTTTCTGTTAAATTTTACAATGTGACCCTTCTTTAAATGTGTATAACGTTTATGCAAGGAGTGAAGGTTTAGATTATACCTCTCCATTTTAATTTGTTTTAAAAGCTCATGCTAAGTACTAAGTAAATGATGACTGGTAAGAAAAGGCCACATTCCTTGGCCTGTTTGGGGTACATGAGGTGGTATGTCTTATAAAAATGTCATTGTTTGGATTCAGGGAAAAACTTTCTGAATATGATTTTTGAATCAAGCATCTGTGGGCTACACTAGGAACTCTCTCTTCCCATGGTAATAAAAGAAACCATGAATTTCCTCAGACATCAGCTGCAGCACTAGAAAAGTTATATAGGTAGATAGTAGTTTATATTTGCATTATGTGCATGGGTGGGCGATAAGCATTTTGTTTGCTATCAGTAATCTAATTTGGGCTGAGCATTACATACAGAAAGAACTAGCTTATGTCATAAGCATTAAGAAAACTGATTGAAAGGAGGTGGAATCCAAATTCCCTTAAACAAAACTGGATCCCTGAAGAACCTTTGTCATTATCTGATTTAGACAAAGTGCTGTTAAGTTGATACAGGGAGAAAGAATTGTAAGAGGAGGTTATGCCTGTGGAAAGGTGCTTAGATGTTTGTGCCCCTTTTGGAGGGATTGGCTTGCAATTCTTCACCTGGAGGCACGTGTTAGTCATCTCCATGGAGATCCTTTATGCTTGTTCCCACCAGAATGTGGTTCCAGTGAAGTGTGTGCTCGTTTCTTGAGTTCCATTTTAAGTGCCTTTGGAAATGAATGGATAGACAAACTATCAGGAATTTATTTGTTCAAACAAACCCTTATAAATGTAGTGGCAAAAAAAAATACATATATATATCTGATTTCTCATGGGCTGAAGAATTGGATGTTTAAAATGCTATTTTAGAATTTGCTTTTTAAGACTGACAAGCAAAATGACTTTATTAAGATTATAGCTCTTAAATCTTTATCAAAATCTGATGATTTTTTTAGGATTCGTTTTTGCTTTGCATTGTACTTGATGTTTCTACTTTTAATTTACATGTTTTCAATGATGCTATTTTATGTCTCTGACCTCATTTTTGTCTAGTTTACATTTTTAGCTAATTATGCTTCCCTGTAGAGATTCTCTGTTATGGAGAATATAACTTTTTACATGTTTACAGCAGCTTTAAGTAGTTTCTAGTTTCATTTTACTAATGCAGAGATAAAAGGTGTCAGAGGCTTGTAGTTCTGGAAGCTGGTGGAAGTTGTTGCAGAGAGCAGTGGAGAAAAAGGAGTGTTAAGGAAGAATAGAAATCTGTCTGGCTGCAAAGACTGAAACACCAGTTTCCAGGAAAGTAGAATGCGGATAATTAAAAAATGGAAAAGAAAGGTTACAAATTCTGGTTAAATCCTGAAGAAACTGGGCTTCTGATTTCTTTAGTATTATTACTCTTATGGATAATTATTTCTTATCTTCACGACTTTAGTTCGTTGTTCCAGCTTATCAGAACTATGCTACATTTTAATCTTACCTTCTAAAAGTGTGGTATCACTTGAAATGCAGTGTTTCTGAATTCCATCCTCTGAATTGTTAATGAAATATTGACCTGTGCTGGACCTACAGTCAGATCCCTCAGGGCTCTCAAGAATGCCATGCTGGTGGACAGTGAATTATTCATAATTACTCTGCATTTTGTATTTGAGCCATTGTGAATGTGTATCTTTTGTAATTCAGCAGAATTTCTTCGTCTCTTGTTTAGCTTCCAACAATTATGGGTAATCATGTCTTAGCTAAAGGGGCCCCACGTTACACCATACTCTTTTTCTCTAATATGCTTCTTACAAACAGCCCGTCCCTGTTAGCTGTGTGGTATTGAAATTCAGTACTATTGCTAATTTTCCTTTGACATCAATAGTAACTTTTCGAGAATATATTACCTCATAATTTGATAGTCATTATAGCTATGAAGGGAACGTCATAGCTATAATGCCCAAGATTGTCAAAAATACAAGATTGATGGGTTTCTTTCTTTTCCCCCTCTGTCATCATTTACTTATATAACATAGTATTTATAGTCATTTATTCCTTTCTCTTTTTTTTTTTTTTTTTGAGATGGAGTTTTGCTCTTGTTACCTAGGCTAGAGTGCAATGGCGCAATCTTGGCTCACCACAACCTCCGCCTCCTGGGTTCAGGCAATTCTCCTGCCTCAGCCTCCTGAGTAGCTGGGATTACAGGCACGCGCCACCATGCCCAGCTAATTTTTTGTATTTTTAGTAGAGACAGGGTTTCACTATGTTGACCAGGATGATCTCGATCTCTTGACCTCGTGATCCACCCGCTTCGGCCTCCCAAAGTGCTGGGATTACAGGCTTGAGCCACCGCGCCCAGCCCTATTCCTTTCTTTAGGAATCCAAAGTGGTAATTGCCTAGGAATATATAGTGTGCTTGATTGGATTAATAAGTATCTTCTTCAAGAATTCAGAATGATAACACGAGTGAATGAATGAATGAATAAATATATAAATAAATACAAATTGTGTTTCAGGGAAGAAAAAATCCCAGGAAAATAAAAACAAAGGAAGCAAAATCCAAGACGTACAACTGAAGACAAGTGAGCCAGATTTCACCTCTGCAAATATGAGAGATTCGGTAGAAGGTAAGCTTGTGATATTGGCCTAGTCTGAATTGGGGTATGTATGTACCCAATGAATTTAACTTTGTATCTCTTTGTATTGTCCTTCTGAGAATCATTTAGGATCTGTACAGAGGTTAAACAGCAAAAAAGCTGCCTAAATTTAATACGGTAAACCGAGCCTTCTGTATTCTGCCTTCCCTTCAAACAATTATGAAAGACTTTTCTTCTTAAAATAAACTTATTCCCTTGTTAAAATAAAATGAGACCAGGTGTGATGGCTCACGCCTGTAATCCCAGCACATTGGGAGGCAGAGCCAGAAGGATCTCTTGAGACCAGGAGTTTAAGACCAGCCCGGCCAACATAGACCCTGTTTCTATAAAATAAAAATTAAAAAATTGACTGAGATGGTGGCATGTGCCTATAGTCCTAGCTGCTTGACAGGCTGACGTGGGAGGATCACTGGTGCCCCGGAGGTTGAGGCTGCATAAACCTCCCTCTATGTTCAAAACTCAAAATCCCACCAATGCACTCCAGCCTGGGTGACAGAGCGCGAGACTCTGTCTCTTCAAAAAATAATAATGATAATAAATGAAACATACTACATGATTGCATTTACAGCATAAAGTTTAAAAACCCTCAAAAAGTGATAGCAAGGACATAAGGAGGCTCCTGGGGTGCTTGTTGTGTTATTACTGATCTGTGGAATGGTCACACGAGGGTATATGTATTTAGTGAGAATTTTATCCTGCTATATACTTAACTATTTGTGCACTTTAATACATGCATGTTTTATACTTCAAATTAAGCATTTACTTAAAATATCAAAGGTCTTTGATTTTTGTATAATGGAATGAAAAGTGTACAGAATGAAGTGTGTTTCTGTTTTTTTGTTAGAATTTAAATTCTTATTTTCTCTCCTCATGTTTCTCCCCTTAAAACTTTCTCCTTTATAGTCCCTCTGATGATTAATATTCTAGGCCTGCCATGGTGTAAGAATCTGAGAGGCATGGATTGAAAGTCAATCAGAGAGACAGCTTGCCCTGTGCTCATTGCAGTTGGGCCACCATATTGAGACTGTTGGGACAGAAGGGAAGGAGGTGTGTCTTAATTTGCCATGGGCAAATTTTTGCAGGTTGGAGCTCACTGGAGTTGTTTATGGTGACCCAAATAGGCAAATTTCAGAAGACAGGTTTGTGACTCTTTCAAGAAATATTAGTAGAGAAAAATAACCAAAATATTTTGGATGCCTTTCATAACCATTTTTAAGCAGTTTGTGATGATAGCATTCATAAAAGATTATAATTTTCTGTGTCATTTTATGAAGCAAGAATAGACAAGTTCATTTCCCAGAGTCTAAACTAAGTTCTGCCTCTTGATTGCAGATCTGCTGAGACCTTTTTTTGAACAACAAAAATTACTGAGGCACTTCACTACCTTTGGTGGCAGAATTAAAAAAAAAAAAAAAAAAACAAATCTAACAGTAGCCTACTCCCCTTCAGTAATTTGAGACAATTATTTTTTTCCTGATACAACATCAGGTCCCATGAAAAATGACACTTGCTCTTTACCCCCCAGTATGTGGCACAGCTGGTCGAAGTGGGGTCGCAGGCCTCCCCTGAATGTTCCGCATTGTCCTCAGCAAATGGTCTATATAATGAGCAAACAGTTCAGATTCTTCTTTGTGTTCCCAATCCTCCTTTATGTTGAAAACTCAACAGACCACATCAGGTGTGTGGACCCACTCTGGCATGGGCCGTAGTCGTTAATGGAGCTGTGCACACTTAGGTTTGTATTACTTTGCACACTTCTAAATCTGGGATTGTTTACCAGTCATAGGGAAAGACATTTTTTCCCCATCAAAAGAATCCACAGATTTTAACTGAAAGTGAAGTCGATAAAGAAATTTCTGAACCTTAGGGTTGTATTTTCTGTTGTCTCATTTCAGCTTTTGTTTGACAGTGTTGTGGGTCTCTGTTGAAAATGTATTTAAAAGAAAGGTAGCTCCTAATCTGAAATACATTACTACCATCGAACGACTGGTTTCCCAGTTTGTGGAAAGCTCATGGAATTTATGAAATTAGTCTAGCGGGGAGAGAAGACTGTGTCTGTTTAGAAACAGAAACCTCATGGCTAGTAAATGTAGCAGCAGATGGGAAAAAGTAAGGCCAATATTCCTGGGAAAGAGCAAGGGGGCTAGGACTGAATAAGTGAGCTTGCATGAGTAATACTTGGCATTGACCTCTTCCCCACTGTATCCACGCAGTCCCCATGTCCAGTAGCAGGCCTTTTGGATCTTCAGGGTCTGGCTGCTTTTTCCTGCCTCCACTGCTCCTTCCCCTTTCCTTCTTAGCATAGCAGCCAGCATCTTCATTCTAATTCCGCTCTCCAGTCTTGCTCCTCAGCCTCCAGTGATGTCCTTCCCCCATCCCTTCCCCCACCCTGCAGCCAAGTCTCCCAGATGGCACTCTCCTGCTTTCAAATACCTTCAGTGGCTCCCCACTGTCCCCAGATAAGTCCGCGTAAATTTACAATGTTCTGTGTGTTTTGATACTTCCCTGCTTGCTTTTCCTCTTCTGTCCTTGATTCTTGTATCTTTCAGGTTCAGCCTGAAGAAGCCTTTCCTGATTAATCAAGCCCATGTGAGATGCTTCCGTACCACGCTTCCATAAGCAAAAGCATTACTTTTTTATAGTTTTGTTGCTTTCTTGCTTGTGTGTGGCTTCTGTTAAAGTGAAGCTCTTCTATGTGTAAGGATCTTGACAGTCTTGTTTACCTCATTCTGGCAGATTGTGAGTGCTAAGTGAGTATCTGCTAGTGATAGGGGAATAGCCAGGTAATACAGTCTGGAGAAGTCAGAATACCTCTGCCTCCTCCACGGAACCTTTCTTAACTCTCCTAGTGCCTGCAGTAGACGGGCCCGATTCTACAGTGCAGCAAGTGAGACTGTCGAAGCAGCAGCATTGGGGACCATTCCTACTAGCAGGAAACCACGGTTACAGTTTCTGTCTTTAAGAATCTCCTGTTGTCCCTGTGTTTTCTTTTTTCTTTTTTTCTTTTTTTTTTGAGATGGAGCTTTGCTCTTGTTACCCAGGCTGGAGTGCAATGGCGCGATCTCGGCTCACCGCAACCTCCGCCTCCTGGGCTCAGGCAGTTCCCCTGCCTCAGCCTCCTAAGTAGCTGGGATTACAGGGACGCACCTCCACGCCCAGCTAGTTTTTTGTATTTTTAGTAGAGACGGGGTTTCACCATGTTGACCAGGATGGTCTCGATCTCTCGACCTCGTGATCCACCCGCCTCAGCCTCCCAAAGTGCTGGGATTACAGGCTTGAGCCACCGCACCCGGCGTCCCTGTGTTTTCTTCTAGTCTCTACTCTATTTCTTTTTCTTTACAGGTAAAATCGAAAGAGTTGCTAACAGGTTCCCTGTCTCTTCTGCCTCCTTCCGTGCTCTTAGGAACTCTGTTAGGCATTTGTCCCCACTACTCCACTTGCTGTTACAATCACCAGACCTCTGCCTTGGCAGATGGAATGTTCCATTCTCAGTCTTCATCTTATCCAACCCATCAGGAGTTCTGGACACAGCTGGTCACCTCTTCCTTGAAGCAATTTCTTTACTTGGCCGAAGGGCCACCCCTCTCTTGGTTCTCCAGATACCTTTCTTCCCGCCTCAGTTTTGGAGTCATCTGGGACAGAGTCCTCTCATTCCTGTTCTGTCTGCGTTCACTTGCCAGGTGACCTCATCCAGTCCAGTGCTCTAAATACCTTCTCTGGCCTTCTCTAGAAATTTCTTTGAAATTTCTAGGCCAGCCTCTTTGTTGAGTTTCAGATTCATATAAAGCTGTCTATGTAATATATTCACTTGGGTGTCTATAATCAGGTACCTTAAAACTTCAGCATGTTCTAAGTAAACTCTTAGTTCCCTCACGACACGCACATGTACACAGACCACGGTTGCTTCTCTTGGGATCTTCAACATTTCGTTAGCCAGGATTATTGCAGTTGCATGAATCTTCCTTGTCTCTTCTCTCTCACCACAGCCAATCAGCAGACGCATGTCAGTTTCATCACCAGAATATATCCAGAGCACCTGTAATCCTGTCCTACTGCCACCCCTGTGCCACCATCCTGCCTCTCCTGGAGGATGCAGTGGTTCCCCCCTTGTCCATCTGCCTCCACCCTTGTCACCTAGGGTTCACTATCTTCCTTGTAGTCACTAGAGTGATTCTCTTGACGACCAGTCAGATTGTGTATTTCTGTTAGATCTTGCTGGTAGCTCCCTGTTTCACTCAGAGTAGAGGCCAGCAGCCTCCAAGGTCTTGTGTGAGCAGGTCCCTGTTTTCATCTCTAGTCTCATCTCCTCCCCTTATTTTTCCCAGCTTCCCCACCTTGCCTTACTGACGTCTTTGCTGTTCTTTGAATACATCTAGTATGTTCTTAAGTCAGCGCTTATGCATTTTGCAGCTTCCTCTATCCAGTAGGGCTCCTCCCCCGTAATATTTGCGTGCTTCATTTTCCTCAGATCTCTCCTTCACTGTCACCTTGTAAGCAAGTCCTTTCCTGACCACCTTCTACCAAGCACCTCAGGTGGGCTAGGCCTGGAGACTGAAGTGACCGCAGATTCCCGTTGCCTTCAGTGTGGTGCTCCTGAGTTCTTAGTAACTTGGCTAGGCTTAGAAGAGATGATCTCCAAAGATTGTCTAGCTTGAAAAACTTGTGATTACACAATTCTGGAAAATGTTCTAGCCTCTGAATATAACATTTTAATTAAGGAGAGTGGATCATATACTCCAGACAGACTTCCAAGGATCTAACCTGGTGATATGTCTAGTAATGAACTTTTTTTCAATTTAGAATCATGAGAAATTAGAATTTACAACTACTTTCCTAAAATGTAGTATTGGCTACTCCAACACAATTTTAAATACTGCGCTTTCTGTAAACAGAGTTGTATGTATGTGCAGCTAAACGCAAAATCCCAGTTCCTCATGTACATCCTTGTCTTTTGTGTTGGTGTGTGTATCCTCACTCCCTGGGATATTGCCTGGTATGTAGCTGGTACTCTGTAAATACTTATTGAATGAATAGCTGAATGAAATGGATTCCTATTCCATCCAACTCTATCACTGAAGTATATAAAGTAGAAGTAACTTACTGTTCATCATAATCTCCCTTATGTTTTAGGTGGTAAGAGAAATAACTTGAGTCATACAAATTGTTCACCAAGTAGCTGGTTTCCCAGGCTTCACTTCATGCTTCTGCTTCCATGTGCTTTCTAGGTCCTAAAGAAGAGGAAGAGAAGCCTTTGGCCTCGGCACTTGAGCAGCCGGCCATCCTCCAGGAAGTGGCCAGTCAGGAGGTGCCTCCAGAACTAGCAACCCCTGCCCATGCCTGGGAGCCACAGCCAGAACCAGACGAGCGATTAGAAGCAGCAGATTGTGAGGTGAACGATTTGGGGGAAGAGGAGGAGGAAGAGGAGGAGGATGAAGAAGAAGAAGAGGAGGAAGAAGAGGAAGAAGAAGAAGAAGAAGATGATGAGTTGGAAGAAGAGGGGGAAGAAGCAGCCAGCATGCCAAATGAAAGTTCTGTGAAAGAGCCAGAAATACGGTGTGATGAGAAGCTGGAAGATTTATTAGAGGAACCAAAAACGATTTCAGAAGAGACTCTTGAAGACTCCTCAGAGGTAACATCTGCCAGGCAAATCCCCAGAAGTAAAGAAGAGGCCAATGGTGATGTATTTGAAGCGTTTATGTTCCCGTGTCAGCATTGTGAAAGGAAGTTTACAACCAAACAAGGGCTTGAGCGTCACATGCATATCCATATATCCACGGTCAATCATGCTTTCAAATGCAAGTACTGTGGGAAAGCCTTTGGCACGCAGATTAACCGGCGGCGGCACGAGCGGCGCCACGAAGCGGGGTTAAAGCGGAAACCCAGCCTAACACTACAGCAGTCAGAGGACCTGGCTGATGGCAAAGCACCTGGAGAAAACGTTGCTTCAAAAGATGAGTCGAGTCCTCCCAATCTTGGGCAAGACTGTCTGATCATCAATTCAGAGAAACCTTCCCAAGACACAGTAAATTCTTCTGTTGTAGAAGAGAATGGGGAAGTTAAAGAACTTCATCCATGCAAATATTGTAAAAAGGTTTTTGGAACTCACACTAATATGAGACGGCATCAGCGTAGAGTTCACGAACGCCATCTGATTCCCAAAGGTGTGCGGCGAAAAGGAAACCTTGAAGAGCCCCAGCCTCCAGCAGAACAGGCCCAGGCCACTCAGAACGTCTATGTACCAAGCACAGAGCCCGAGGAGGAAGGCGAAGCAGATGACGTGTACATCATGGACATTTCTAGCAATATCTCTGAAAACTTAAATTACTATATTGATGGTAAAATTCAAACTAATAACAGCACTAGTAACTGTGATGTGATTGAGATGGAGTCCACCTCTGCAGATTTGTATGGTATAAATTGTCTGCTCACTCCAGTTACAGTGGAAATTACTCAAAATATAAAGACCACACAGGTCTCTGTAACAGAAGATCTTCCTAAAGAACCTGCAGGCAGCACAAATAATGAGGCCAAGAAGCGGAGAACCGCGAGTCCGCCTGCACTGCCCAAAATTAAGGCTGAAACAGATTCTGACCCCATGGCCCCCTCCTGCTCCTTGAGTCTTCCTCTTAGCATATCAACAACGGAGGCAGTGTCTTTCCATAAAGAGAAAAGTGTTTATTTGTCATCAAAGCTCAAGCAGCTTCTTCAAACTCAAGATAAACTAACTCCTCCTGCGGGGATTTCAGCAACTGAAATAGCTAAATTAGGTCCTGTTTGTGTGTCTGCTCCTGCATCAATGTTGCCTGTGACCTCCTGTAGGTTTAAGAGGCGGACCAGCTCTCCTCCCAGTTCCCCACAGCACAGCCCTGCCCTTCGTGACTTTGGAAAGCCAAGTGATGGGAAAGCAGTGTGGACCGATGCAGTTCTGACTTCCAAAAAATCCAAATTAGAAAGTCATACTGACTCACCAGCATGGAGTTTGTCTGGGAGAGATGAGAGAGAAAGCTGTGAGCCCTCCATGCTTTGATGAATATAAAATGTCTAAAGAGTGGACAGCCAGTTCTGCTTTTAGCAGTGTGTGCAACCAGCAGCCATTGGATTTATCCAGTGGTGTCAAACAGAAGGCTGAGGGTACAGGCAAGACTCCGGTCCAGTGGGAATCTGTCTTAGATCTCAGTGTGCATAAAAAGCCTTGTAGTGATTCTGAAGGCAAGGAATTCAAAGAAAATCATACAGTGCAGCCTACTTGTAGTGCTGTAAAGAAAAAGAAACCAACCACTTGCATGCTACAGAAGGTTCTTCTCAATGAATATAATGGCATCGATTTACCTGTAGAAAACCCTGCAGATGTGACTAGGAGCCCAAGTCCCTGTAAATCCCTAGAAGCTCAGCCAGATCCTGACCTTGGTCCAGACTCTGGTTTCCCTGCCCCTACTGTTGAGTCCCCACCTGATGTTTGTCCTTCATCACCTGCCCTGCAGACACCTTCACTTTCTTCTGGTCGGCTGCCTCCTCTCTTGATTCCCACAGATCCCTCCTCCCCTCCACCCTGTCCCCCGGTATTAACTGTTGCCACTCCACCCCCTCCCCTCCTTCCTACTGTACCTCTTCCAGCCCCCTCTTCCAGCACATCTCCACATCCATGCCCCTCTCCACTCTCAAATGCCACCGCACAGTCCCCACTTCCAATTCTGTCCCCAACAGTGTCCCCCTCTCCCTCCCCCATTCCTCCCGTGGAGCCTCTGACGTCTGCTGCCTCACCCGGGCCTCCAACGCTTTCTTCTTCCTCCTCTTCATCTTCCTCCTCCTCTTCGTTCTCTTCTTCATCTTCCTCCTCTTCTCCTTCTCCACCTCCTCTCTCCGCGATATCATCTGTTGTTTCCTCTGGTGATAATCTGGAGGCTTCTCTCCCCATGATGTCTTTCAAACAGGAGGAATTGGAGAATGAAGGTCTGAAACCCAGGGAAGAGCCCCAGTCTGCTGCTGAACAGGGTGTTGTTGTTCAGGAAACATTCAACAAAAACTTTGTTTGCAATGTCTGTGAATCACCTTTTCTTTCCATTAAAGATCTAACCAAACATTTATCTATTCATGCTGAAGAATGGCCCTTCAAATGTGAATTTTGTGTGCAGCTTTTTAAGGATAAAACGGATTTGTCAGAACATCGCTTTTTGCTTCACGGAGTTGGGAATATCTTTGTGTGTTCTGTTTGTAAAAAAGAATTTGCTTTCTTGTGCAATTTGCAGCAGCACCAGCGAGATCTCCACCCAGATAAGGTGTGCACACATCATGAGTTTGAAAGTGGGACTTTGAGGCCCCAAAACTTTACAGACCCCAGCAAGGCCCATGTAGAGCATATGCAGAGCTTGCCAGAAGATCCTTTAGAAACTTCTAAAGAGGAAGAGGAGTTAAACGATTCCTCCGAAGAGCTTTACACAACTATAAAAATAATGGCTTCTGGAATAAAGACGAAAGATCCAGATGTTCGACTGGGCCTCAATCAGCATTACCCAAGCTTTAAACCACCTCCATTTCAGTACCATCACCGAAACCCCATGGGGATTGGTGTGACGGCCACAAATTTCACTACACACAATATTCCACAGACTTTTACTACTGCCATCCGCTGCACAAAGTGTGGAAAAGGTGTCGACAACATGCCTGAGCTGCACAAACATATCCTGGCGTGTGCTTCTGCAAGTGACAAGAAGAGGTATACACCTAAGAAAAATCCGGTACCGTTAAAACAAACTGTGCAACCCAAAAATGGCGTGGTGGTTTTAGATAACTCTGGGAAAAACGCCTTCCGACGAATGGGACAGCCCAAAAGGCTAAACTTCAGTGTTGAGCTCAGCAAAATGTCGTCGAATAAACTCAAATTAAATGCATTGAAGAAAAAAAATCAGCTCGTACAGAAAGCAATCCTTCAGAAAAACAAATCTGCAAAGCAGAAGGCTGACCTGAAAAATGCTTGTGAGTCATCCTCTCACATCTGCCCCTACTGTAATCGAGAGTTCACTTACATCGGAAGCCTGAATAAGCACGCTGCTTTCAGCTGTCCCAAAAAACCCCTTTCTCCTCCCAAAAAAAAAGTTTCTCATTCATCGAAGAAAGGTGGACACTCGTCACCTGCAGGTAGTGACAAAAACAACAGCAACCACCGCAGACGGACAGCGGATGCGGAGATTAAAATGCAAAGCATGCAGACTCCTTTGGGCAAGACCAGAGCCCGCAGCTCAGGCCCCGCCCAAGTCCCGCTCCCCTCCTCATCCTTCAGGTCCAAGCAGAATGTCAAGTTTGCAGCTTCGGTGAAATCCAAAAAACCGAGCTCCTCCTCTTTAAGGAACTCCAGCCCGATAAGAATGGCCAAAATAACTCATGTCGAGGGGAAAAAACCCAAAGCTGTGGCCAAGAATCATTCTGCTCAGCTTTCCAGCAAAACATCGCGGAGCCTGCACGTGAGGGTACAGAAAAGCAAAGCTGTTTTACAAAGCAAATCGGCTTTGGCGAGTAAGAAAAGAACAGATCGGTTCAATATAAAATCTAGAGAGCGGAGTGGGGGGCCAGTCACCCGAAGCCTTCAGCTGGCAGCTGCTGCTGACACGAGTGAGAGCAAGAGAGAGGACGGTAGCACCAAGCAGGAGCTGAAGGACTTCAGGTAAGCGCGGGAGCTGGGGGGAGGGGAGGGCCGGGGAGGTGGCAGTGTCCTTGCCTGCGGGTGTTTTTTGGTTTCTTGTTGCTTTTTTTTTCTTTTCCTGTAAAATTTTGACCTAAACACTTAAGGAAATAGCTGTTGCATAGGTTATAGGCATGAAGGGTCACAGCTTTGGCTGCCTTGAGATGAATAAATAGTTTTAATTTCAGACTTAGGACTCAAAAGGGGTGCCACGTCTTTAATGTGGCCAGGTGTACTTGAATTTAAAACTGTAGAAAAGCTCTCAGAAGTGCTCTGTAAGAAAAGGTGAAATCCTCTCAAACTTCCTTCATATCTTGGGTAATAGCTCAGTGTCACGTGTCTTATTTCCTGATCATAGGTCATTTCTTAGGTGAAGACGGGTCACAAGTTCATTAGAAAACCATGTTACAGTCTTGTTTAATATGTCTGTGACTTCAACATAGATCAAGTACCTGAGACTTTCATTGACAATGTTGAAATTTTAACAATTTAGGCCGGGCGTGGTGGCTTATGCCTGTAGTCCCAGCACTTCGGGAGGCTGAGGCGGGTGGATCACCTGAGGTCAGGAGTTTCTAGACTAGCCTGGCCAACGTGGCGAAACCTCATCTCTTTAAAAAAAAAAAAAAAAAAAAATATATATATATATATATATATATATATATATATATATATTTATATATATAAATAAAATAATTTATTGCATTGGTAAAAACAAAACATAGTCCTTTAAAAGGCCTTATGCCCTGTTCCCCACCTCCTCAGCTCAGCCATAGGACAGTAAACAAGTCAGGTTCTGGATGGGAGGCAGAGTAGGAGAGACGTGCTGGGAACTCTGGACAAGACCCTTGTGGCTCTTTCAGGCCTGTGTGATACCCAGCCTCATTTGTCAGTGCCTTTGTGTCCCTGGTCATGATGGTAGGATTCGTCCTAGATTTGAAGTGACCTTACTGCTTTATTGCATGTGCTTCCTATGTTAAGAACTGTTTTCAGTGACAGATGAAGAGAGACGGCAGTGGTAAATTTGTTATATTGGATTCTCACTTTCCCCTTTGTCCAAAGTGGATATGCGTTCTTGGAATTCTTGCTGTTTCTGAATAATGCCTGTAGGTCAGTCTTGTGTGAAATTAATTACTCTTATCAGATAGCATTTCTACGGAATACTTTTAAATTCTGTCTTTTCAGAGTATGCCACCTGACCTGACTCTAGGCTTCCATGGCTATAGCTTTGGTGTCTGAAAATTCTCTGGTGTTTGAAGCAAGCAGAATTAGGGATAAGTGTGGGCGTGACTGCTGTTTTGGAGAGGTCATGAGGACACAGGGGTGCCATTAGCCCTGCATAATTAATCAGGTAGAATTTTTAATGCTGGCTTGCCTTAAATCACAGCTGAAGAGAGAAGACTCATTAGCCAAGGCCGATTTGAATGATTTACTGTAGGATTAATGGTTCAGATTTTTAGAAAGCTACTTCATAAATGTTTTAAATATTTAGTTGCTATAGGTCTGACCAATGATCAGTCTCTGGCCACGGCACATGCATAGGCAGCATCTTGGAGGTTAGTGCTGGTGAAAATAAGCACCTGTGTTATCAGCTGTCAGAGCCGCTTGCCTTTAGTCATTGAATTGTGCACCTGTTTGCACTTAGTCTGTGTTCTGGAAGTGCTGCACCAACAGGACATGATCAAATTGAGTCCTTTTCAAGTTGCTTATGTCTTCAGCAACCACAATGTGCCTTCGTTTTCACAGATTGTACTATAAAACGCCTCCCAGGTGGTCGATGCTTTAGAATGTACTACTGTTTTTATCCCTTTTTGTCTTCGGTATTATCTAAAAGAAACACTTGTTTTGTGCTGGGTCCTACTTACACAGTTCAAGGTTAAAGTTGATTTGAAAAAATTACATTCTGTAAGGAAAAGCTGTCAGAGTGACTATAAATTTATGAAGTTCATTCAGATAGCCTCTACACAGTGTCTTTTAAAGAACCCTTAAGGCTACAAACGTGCCTTAAAAGTTCTGTCTCTGCCTCGCTCCAGTTAATTGTCATTATTTTGCTTTGTTTGATAGTTAACAGAGGGTTACCTTGCTGGAGTTGACATTTGGCCTAAAAGGAAGCACAGAAGAATCAGATAAGAAAGAAAACATTGGTATTGTTCTTACTGTAGAGAGTAAATGACAGGCATTGGTGGCAACTCTTCCTCCTCTGTATGAGGTGCTGGAACTGTGCTGTGGACACATCTGCAGGTCAGGAATGTGATCCAGGGGTCCGCTTACCAAGTGGCCATAAACCTAAGAAGTGTTCTTGGGAATTGGAAGACAGATGTTCATCAAGATATAGTTTGACTATCTGGACACAAAAGTGGACATTTCTTCCAAGTATTTGTTTTGGTCTTAGTACTTTATAGTGAATTTAGTACAAAACTGGGATTCCTAAACTCAGACCTGGGGAATGTGATGACTGTCATTAACGTCCTGCCCAGGGCTCTTACAGAGGAGGCCTTGTCCTCAGCGCATATTCATTGTATTACACTGATAAGGAGTTGTTTGAACTACAGTCGTCTTCCTGTTTAGGTATAGTTCTAGTTCTAAATTTTGTGTAGGGAGAATTGCTAACACCAGGAGTCATCACATCTGTTGTGTGTTGAGGAATACTCACTTTCACTCTGTTTGCAGCTTGCTTTGCTTACATTGGGTAGGCAGGGACTTAGTACAAAACAGGCAGCACGTCCTTGTCCTGTGTATTTCCTTACAACAGATTGTGATTAGGAGCTGGTTTTCAATACTCAGGTATTTTACATTTGAATGCCACTTTAGGATTCCACGGTTTTTCAAATATATGCTTGCAATCAGCCACGTGATTTTTTCCATGAGTTTTCTACTGAACACTGAGGGTCATTTTCTGGAACACAAGCCATAGGGCCAGACAGGGTGTAAAAAAGCCATGTGCTCCAAATAGTTTTCTTAGGACAAAACACAGGAAACCAGGCACGCCACAGTCATTCAGGTTCTCCTGCTGCAGCTCTTAATGCAGTGATCCACCCCAACCCCACACTGTGGCTTTCTGTGGTGCTAAGTTTAAATCTGTTGCTAAGGGTTCATTGCCAAGGGCTCCCATAAAGCAGAAAAGGAAGGAAAGAGGTATAGTCTCTACTCACTTCCTAAACCTTTCACCTTGGTAAACCCCAAGGTGGCGTTATGTTCTTTAACGCTCCTTTTAGAGCCACTTTTTGCTTTTCGAACCGAGTTCCCATTGTAGCCAGTCAAGAAAACTTAAAGGTAGAGAAGCAAAATGAAATTCTAGACCAAGTTTTTTCTTTTACCATGAATTGATTAAAAAAATAAAGTGCCAATTTTTCACGTCTCCATGTCTGCTATACCCCTTGGAAATGCCTGTAGTTCCTTGCAGGGTATGTCTTCTGAATAGGATGCTCCTTCCTGAATGCCTTCAGTCATTTATGTGTTGTTGTCTGAATAACATTTGTCTTATGGTCTGTTCACCTTTTTCTTTAACATGGGCAATTCATGTAAGGTTATGTTATGTTGTCATTTATCTTCAGTTTTCTTATTTTCTAGGAACTTCCTGTAGAAAAGCCCCCAAAACAAAACAAACCTTAATTGACTAAAAGGTATTGCATGCTCAACTTAGGATAAGCACTACGGCAAAGGATACGAAATCTACCAAGCTTGCAAGACCAGTTGAAGCTGACTCAAAAATCCTAACATACAACTGATTGCCGGCAGGCTTAGAGTCAGGCATCTGCTGCTTCGGTGGGGCCCAACGCGCATGCTGGGCTCCCGGGTGATTGAGATCCAAAGAGAAGGGCACTGTAAGACAGGCCAGATGAACTGGCGCCTCGTCACGGGACTGGTACCTCAGATCTGAGCGTGGCCCTTATTTTTGGCATGTAGCAGAGAAAGGAATGATTTGAACTTAACCTTGCAAAGCAAGTTCTCTGTTTTAGCAGTAGTTTGTTGTAGGTTTCAGGGATGACAAATTTGGATGCACTCATTTAAAACGTTTTGGTCACATATCATCAGCTCTTGATGCCTTTCTTTAAAATTAACTGTAGACAGAGAGAGGCATTTAGCTGATCTCTTACCCTGGTTATTTTTTGGGTTTTTTTGTTTTTTTTTAATCACAAGTAGATTGCCAGTGTAATGGAGAGGAAACCAGTTTGGATACGGACTCTTTTTTATGCCTATTCTGGTGTTGTGTTTGTATGTCCAAATGGACATTATCCTCTCAGATTCTTATCTGGCACTAATTTATAACTATTATCAGAGACTGTGTAGCAATATATCGATGCACAGGTGCATCCCAGGCCTGCGTAGATGTATGTCTGCATGTAAGTATAAATGAATTTGCATACCAGGTTTTACACTTCCATCTCTGATAGAGATTAAAAACAAATTGGCCTCTTCTTTAAGTATATTAATAACATTTCTCCTTGCATTTTTATGCCTCCCTCTAAATTAATGACTGAGTTGGTGGAAAACGGCTAGGTTTTATTCATACTGTTTTTTGTTCTCAACTTCAAAAGTAATCTACCTCTTAAAAATGTGTAGTTTAATATTTGTTTGGTGAATTTGTGCCACTTTAATCCTTCCACTATCATTCCCATTTTGTTACATTTCTGTTATGGGGACTTTATGTTGAAATATTGTATAAAGCATTTGTAGCAGTTTAAAAATAAAATATTTAAAATTATTTAAATTGTTTTGGACGCTTCAATTGTATTATATGTGATTTACATTTCACTTTTTTTGTTGGCGTTGTTAACCCAGAGAGTGCTCCTGTACTGAAGTTTGCTGTTAGTTATTTTATTGCTTCTTTTTGGAGAGTGCTATAAAAGACTATTCTAATGAAACATTAAAATTTACAATTTGACATACAAAAAAGGGTTGTCCGTTGATTTTAACCAATGTAGCCTTGAGACAGAGAGAGGTTTATGATAGACAGATAGGAGTGGTGTTTGCTGTTTTTCCCTCCCAGCATTGAAATCGTTGGGGCTTGTCAGATGTATTTTTAAAAAGATTTTTTGTGCTATTGCTGCAAACAGTTAATAACTAGGGGAGAATTTAATGCATTTTATATCACTGTAACCAATAAAAAACTTTCTAAACATCTGTGAAAGGACTGCATTTTGTACATAATTGGGAGCAGTTGGGGGGAAACGGTGTCTGGAGGACTGTTGAAAAGCCCGCACTCTGAAAGTGCGGCATCTGCTCAGCTCACCTGGCGTCTGTTCACTTGTGCCTATTTGACAGTAACTGAATATGTGCTCATTCCAGTTGGAATTCTCTATAGAGGGTGGCCACGTAGTCAGACAACGGTGCCGAGAAGTACCTTGTGAACTCACTTGGGTAAGAGTGAAATATAAAATAATTTCATTGATGGGGTCTAGCATCCTCTGTGCTTCCTGACAGTTTATTCTAGTTTGTGGATTGATGTTTATTTCTATGGATCTCCAAAGAATGAAACCAAAAAGTTGTGACATACTCAGTTTATATGAAATTGCTGGGGCTTTTTAAAATGAAAAATGGCTGACCATAAGCAGTTTCCTGTAGTTCATCATCATAGCACTTTGGTAACCACATCTGTCTGTCACTGCTTGTCGGGGAAAGGTGGCGAAGGGATAGCCAGCCTCCCTTGGCCAGATTCTGGCATACGATATTCCTTCCTTAGAAAGACACGGAGGAGAGAGGTTGGTAGGAATCTGGAAGTGGTCTTCAATAATAGTAGTTTTAAACAAATGAGTACTGAATATACAGCAGTCTCCTGTGAGGAGTTAACATTGTAAGAAAGACATGGTCTTGGGGGAGAACTGGGTTTCCATCCTAACCCGTCTGCCGAGGGTTCATCCATTCCCTGTGCCTTCAGAAGTAAACAAGTGCCCTCAGTGGCTTTGTCTTTGGTGTTTTAGCCTTGGGCGAGTTCTTTTACATTCTGGATCACAGTTCCCAATCTGCAAATAGTGGAGAGTAGTGGACTGGCTGGTTTCTGAGTGCTCCTAGGAGATCTTTTTCCTGGTTCTAGATACTTGTCAGACACAAGCACTGGACTGAAAGCGTGGGGCAATGGCTAGGTCTCCACAGTGTCCCCGGCTCTGCCAGCAGCGCCTGGAACACGACAGGGACTCGGATGGTTACTGGAGGAGTCACCAAGGAGCCACGTCACATCCGTCTCTCCAAGGGAGAAGCTGCCCTGTTCGGGTTGTGTTGGCTCCTTTATTAAAGATGTAAACATTTTTTAAAAAAATGAAAAGCTAATTAAAGCCTTCTGTCCCTGTTACCATTGACACATTTGGCAGTGCTTCTAGTGAATGCCGTGCTAGGCTGGCTGTCTTAACTTGGCTATTATAAGTAGTTTATAAAATCAACTTAATTCATGGAGTGCTTAGTGTATGCCTGGCTGTGTTCTAGGTGCTTAGGATACAGCACTGAACAAGATGGACAGAAATCCTGACCTCTGTGGGGCTTATTTTTTCATAGTGGCTTTTCCCCCCATTTTATATTTCATATTTCAAACCTCCTCGCTGTTACAATTCCCCAAAGGCTAGGTGGTCAAGGAGATGCTTCTAGCTTAATATCTGAGTGCCGATCTCCAGATGACTGCAGGCTTTTAATACTTAAAATGACTCTACTAAAATCATAGCTCACTTAATGCATTTGATATTTTATTCATGTGGATTTTGATTTGATATTGAACCTCGCTTTGAATATATTGACTTAAATCCATAAAAAGAATCATAAAGGGCAATTTACCTTGAAAGTGGATTCGAGCACAGGCAGATGAGGAAAGGGTTGACACGGATATAAAGGCCACATTTCAAGTGCTTCCAAAATGAGGCTGATAGTTACAGAAAATAGCTTGTCGTTCACCGTCAGCCTTTATTGGCCCTGCAGCCGTGGCCTCTGTCCCTCCTGATGGCACCACCCCTGCAGCTGCCGCTTCAGGCAGCCTTGGTGAAGGTTCTGGTAAAGCACTGCTGTTGGAACTGCTACTGAGCGGATGTTCCAGGGCCTCGGAGGTGTGGACGGGCCAGTTTGCTAGACTTAACAAAACAGGGAGCCGCAAAGCCCTGCCCTCCAACACCATGGGTTCCACACTTCATCTGGGGAGCTTGTCAAAACCACTAGTTCCAAGGGCCTGCAAGTGGACCTTCCAATTAGTCCATTCAGGGCTGGGGCCTGCCTGGGTAATAGGTACTTTAAGGACCCCAGGTAAATTCAAGGCACAGGATAATTTCTGGATTTAATGTGGGAAAAATAATGGAAGTGTGGCTGTCAGTTGCTACAGGACGGTGTTGTTTAGGCCTCGCAGTGCCGCGTGTGCTTGTTACAGTCCTGCAAAGTGGGCGCTGCTGTTTCCCCATTCTTCCTAAGGCTGAGCAGGCCGGCATCTGCGGTTGAGGCATCAGCGTTACTCTGAAGCCAATCCTGAGCCGTGTGCACTTGGTGGAAAGAGGAGGTGGTGGGCCTTGAGGGTGAAGGCACCACAGGTCTGTTGTGTACTTTCTTTCCGGCTTATGTTGATTCCAAGGCCCAAGCCCCACTGGGCCCTGCCCTTCTGGGGGTTTGACCTTTCCTCAAGGGTTTGCCTCATAAGCCGGACCTTGAATACACAGTATCATGGGATAAAAGGAATAAAGGTCCAGATGGGTGGGGATGATGACATTCACGTGACCATTGACAAAACATCTAATGTCAAAATAGAAGTTGAATAAGGTTTGAGGTCTGAGTAGGTGCCACATAGGGAAAAAAGCGCAAAACTGCTTTTGATGGTGCCACAGATGTCTGTGCTGCAGCCCTGAGGCTCCAGGGCCGATCCTTGCTGCCACCTACACAGGGTCATGCCACTTTCTCCCTCCCCACCTTCTGCCCTTGCGCTGCTTCCTCTGAGTGGTCGTGGAAATGATCTAACACTTTACAGTGGATTCAGCGTGGCTTTCCAACACTTGCTGTGGGCTGGGTGCTTCACTGAGAATCCACAAAAAAAGTCTTGGCAATGACAGTCTGCGGTTAGTGCCACTTACCAATGGAGAAACAGATTTGGGGAAAATGACTTTGTTCCAAGGGCACGCAACTCCCAGGGTGGCAAGTTGAGATTTGAACTCCAAGCTACACTGTGCAGTCCATCTTTATAGGTAGGTTTTTTTTTTTTTTAACAAAATAAAAATTTATTTCTTCTAAATGTAGAAAACAGGCCACAATACTTTCTCCATAAAAGCTTTTTCAGCATTAGTGAGCAAGTAGAGCAGTCATTTGTGGGCAAGGAAATCTTCCCGATGCAGTGAGACATTCTTAGGATTTGCCTTTAGTTTCCCCCTCACTGTGGAATACACTACCCCCATCACAGACCAATCAGATCAAGTCCATCAAGCTGGCTGTATAGAGCCATCTGCTTCACCAATGGCAATGTGACTGTTTAACAGAAGCTAAGCTCATTATAGTAACACCCTTTGCTTTTGGAGATGATTCTAAAGGTCCTGGAATGATCAGGCATCTCCTCAGATTAACAGCAGAGAACCTTGACCTGCTGGGCATGAACCCAAAAAGAAAGTTGGTCTAGGCCGCCTCCCCACTTCCCCAGTGTGTTTGTTACATGCAAAACAAAGAGGTATTTACTTTCTACCCAAATGTTATTTTTAAAACTTCAGAATTAGAACCTGGAGGGGGTGTATGTAGGTTTCATTTAGTTTTCTGGATTAAGAATAAGAATTGAGAGAACCATCATGACTCTAAATTACTTGCAGTTGCAGAAATTACATCCAATTGTGAGTCATTAAAAGTACTTTTATTAGAATAAAGTTGACCTGTTGTGGGTAATAAGATTTGTACATGCTTGCATTTCTACCTCCCGTCTGCCAGCTGGATTTCCTTTCAGCTCTTTTTTAAAATAGAAATTTAGGTGGACATTCTGGAGAACATCAACGTTTTATGGAAGACATTGGCGCCTAAATGTGCCTTCCCATGTCCAACTCATAAACCGTGGCAGGAAGTCGGCAGAAGCAGCCATGTTTCTGAGCATCCTTTCATAGGTGCCAGCTGAGCTACTTCGTGAGGGGAGAGAGACCTGGAGTGTCATTTCAGCAACCACGGAAAGCTACAGGTGGATTTTAAAGTCCAGCTTTATGTTCTGATTCAGAACTGATTTAAGCTAAGAATATTTCCTTACCCATGTTTTAACTAACAGGAGCGTATGACATAATATGGAATCCTAATTAGATATCTACTGAATCTTAGCATTAAATCTAAATGTATTTTTAAAATAGGACTCACTTTTAAAATAAAAAAGACCTGGAATTTGTTTCGCAGGTAAGTTTACGAAAGGGCATTTAGGCCTTAGGACACAGTTGAGGCAATTTAAATTTTTTTAACTTAAAAGCCATTTCAATATACAGCAGTTTAATTTGTTTTAGTATTTAATTATTGCCCCAAAATATATTTAATATGTTTTTTACTGAAATGAAGTTATTTAAAACTCATATGGATTCAATTTTCCTTGCAGTAACATTCTCTTCTCACTTGCTTTTTATAATCGCATCCAATCCTTGCCAACCCAGCTAGAGTTTAGAGCACTTTCAGATGGCTTCTATTTCCAAGCTATTATTGGACTTGTGAATTCAGGCACATTCTCCTGTTGTGATTCAGTTAGCCATTCAGAAAACATCTTTCTGCAGCCAATCTGGATCATCAAGGTGTCAGGCTGTAGATCTGAAGGACTCTGTCCTCGGTCTCTTGGAGGACCCTTGGGGTATAGCTAACCAGTATGGAGGGAGTTGAGGATGTGCCTGGAGTGTCACTGGCCTTTTCAACGCACAGAACGCTTTTCTGAGTGCTTCCTATTTTGAGCTCTCCCACCACCTGACAGAGATAGTATTCTCATTTACAGACAG